ATAAAATCCTGGCCTTTCTTATATACACGCGATTTATCGAACCCTCGCAAATTTCCTGCATTTTCCTAACGCCATGTTTTCGCCGTGCGCGATTATGCATATAGCTTTTTCTTCGACGGATTATCGTCCAACTACGGTATGCACGGTCACGTATCCGACGCAACAAGATCAACTGAAACGAGCTTGGAAAGAGCTTTACAAGAGAAGCGCATAATGCTTAAACAGAATGAGTTTCGAGGAAACGTGCCGGAGTTGAAAGATCGATCGAAACCGAGAGCGGTCAAGGAAATCATTAAATACGTTTATCTCGCTTAAATTTAACACGTAATTCTCGCGGACCTACTGACAGCTGGGATCGCAAGACGAAAGAGACCAAGTTGGCCGACTTTATAACCAAAATAGCAGTTTCGGCAGCGTGTTGTAAAACGTTAACTATACGACCCCGATAACTGCGTTTATCTGTGATTGTCACTCTGCTATGGTAGTCACGTACGTATGCGGAACCACGTATAGCAATTTTGCATGGGTACCCGGCGGAACAAGATCAACGGGAATGAGTTTCCAAAGCGCTTTATAGCGGAAAGTCGATGATGTTCGAACGAAAGAAGAATTCCGGGGACAGGGAGAGAGAAAGAGAGCGAGAGAGAGAGAGAGAGAGAGAGAGAAAAGCGCGACAGAGGCGCGAAAATCCAGTTTAAAACTAGCGACGAAAGCCGATAGCGATGCTGCAAAGGGAGATAGAGTTTTTATGTCGAAACGAGCATGGCGTCGCAGATACGAGGGTTGGGAAGAAGTGGTATTTACCCACACGGGGGTGTACGAGTGAAGCTGTAAATAACGATGGTTTCTTCCTCTTTGTACCACTTTCCCCTTTCCTCTCTTTTTCTCTCCGTTTTCCTCCTCCTCCTCCTCCTCCTCTTCTTCCTTCCCCTCCTCTCTCTCTCTCAGCTTTGTATCATTTTTTTTCTTTGCCTAGCACGTACGCACCGTCAGAGATTGTGTTTCATTGCGTGGGTGGATCGTGAAAAAAAGCGCAAAGAGAAGAATTTTTATCACTGACAATTATGACGCCCTTTGCGAGGTCCCTTCGCGCGCGATACTATTACGTGTCTATGGTAACTAGCAGGCTTGTCTTTTCATCCAAAAAAACTCAAGGCGCGAAAAAGAACAGTTGATATTTACTCGAGAGACGGGATCATTTGTAAATGTTACCGGATTAAATATTTAAATTTATCTCCATGTTTGAATTCTCCGAATTTGATGCCAAAATATCTTTACATTAATTTCATCTTTTTAAATATTATTATTCTATCTCTAGCATTGTTTTCTCAAATAATAACTAAGAAAGCCATATAGAACACGTTTATTCTAAGATTATTTAAGATATTTGCTCAAGCATTTGTCATAATAATGTAATGAAAATCCGATAGGACATTTCGGCAAAATAATTTTTAATAAATTAATTATTCCCTTTTTAAATATTTATTTAAATATACATTGAGAGATATACCTTGACATTTTCAATTGTAATGCAAATTTGGCACGTAAAATAAAGATTTGAAACGTTATCTTTGTTTTTATTTCACGATCCTGCAATCACCAGCCTACACGTTTGGCATTGAGGTAAACGTCAGTAGAGCATATGTAATTGCGTTTCTCTAATTAAACGCGCACGTTTACGCGGTTAATAATCCAATTTCACTAATTTCTTTTGTACGCGTACGGCGTCGCAATATTCATTCCGCCATAAACGTTACTTGGTCACGGACGATATTAGCTGGATTAACGGTTAACGGTAATGTCAGCTTCGTTAGTATATCACCTTAATAACAAAAATAAGAAAGTATCTCGGTCGCAGAGAGCCAATGTTCTCGGCAAGGACACGAAAAGCTAACGTTGCACGAGTTCGAAGTAAATCACAAACGCAAATCACTAGGCGGAAAATACCGGCGCCAGCGTTACGCGCGCTTTCGCCGCGACGATCATCCGCCAGCGACGACATTAACAGGGAGAAATGGTGAGTGACGTGATCGTTGGTACGTGCACGACGAGGTTGACGTTATCGCGCCACCGAATCGGAATGCCTTTCGCATGATCTATTTAACGCACCGGTGAGCACGCGCGCTCGTCGGAGAATCTTCTCGAAGACGACGGCCGCGCGGAGCCGTCAACTCGCGGCGCGGCGTAAAATGCCCTGGATGCCATTTTCAGGATGCACGATGAATATTCTTACGCGCGCGCTCTTCCAACCGAAACTGAGCTCGGCTGCGGAACAAATATCAACCCGCACAAACGTAGCGTCGAGGAGGGCGCAATGACGACGACGATGGCGACGGCGACGGCGACGGCGACGGCGACGGCGACGACGACGACAGCGACAAGGGTGCGAGCGATAAGTGCGAGCGACGAGAGGGGACGGTGGCTTCATATTGTGTGGCACGAGGTGCCGACGGATATACACCAACACGTGTACCGTAAATGTAATTACAGCTTAAAGGGAAGTTCCATCCTAAGCGATCCTTCGCGGTCGAAGTGGGTTCTGCATTAATTAGAAGCCAACTTAATTAATACGCGCTTGTATGCCGAGCGTACCCTGTCCCGGGAATCTTGCCTACACGGAGGAAGGAAACGTTCCTTCTTGCCAACACTTTAGGCAACGTAGCCGCGGCGCGGCGTTCGCGAGTCTGTGTACGTAAAGCGACTTCGCAATATCGTTGCTTTTTACCGGCGTTCGCGGCACGTCGGATTTTCATAAAGAATTTGCATTTAGGTAGTCGCGCGAGCAGTAAGCTCGGAAGATTCAAGTGTAGCATGCTCTTCTCATTACTGGGGAATCTCTGCTTACGAACTCTTGAGGCACGAACAATTCGCAATTATGTATGTTGCACAGGTTAATAGAACGCAACCTTAGATTGTTTAAGAAACGCGTGCTGATAAATATTTAGCTGCACACAATTCAATAACCCGGATTAATAAATTCACTATTCATAACTGCAGGCTATGCCATAAGCTGATTGAAAGAATAATTCTACGCATATAATGTAGATGCCAGCGATATGATAAGCGAAACTACTAACGCACAAACAATGATATTCTCTGTGAGTGATAGTGACAACATTTTTCTCGTACATTTTTATGTATGTACGCTTCGGGCACATTTCGTCCCGCCGTCGTCCCGTACAAGCATGCACGTTGCGGCGCGGAAAGCTCGGGAAATATTATGCTAGCAACACGAGAGAGTATGAATTATTTAAGCGCGCGGTGGAGGTAGAAGCGCAGAAACTATACCGAAGGCATTGCATCGTTTTGTAATTTCTGTCAGTGGTCGGAATTTTATGGTTACGATCTCACCATGTTCACGCTACGCACGCTCACAAATAGGTTGCGCATGTGTGATTCCTTCAGATTAAATTATAATTTTAATCGCACATAGAATTAACTGCACATTCGTACTGCGGTACATGTCATACGATTTAAAAACGGGGTCTCCGAATATATGTACGTATACCATTTTCTTCAATTTTTTAAAATAATTTATCTCTTCAACGCTTATATAATATAAATTTGTAATATTTTATGAAATTTTTAAGAAAATTCAATGTCGAGAAAGAGTTCATTCGAGAGTTAATATAAACATAAAGTTATAATTGACTTGAAAAAATAGATCTGCGTGACTCTTAACACTTTGCGAATTTATCACGGCTATTGTATCTGATCAGATCTTCTATTTCTTTATTGTTCTCTATGAAATTACGATACCTACTGCGTGTGAGACACCTATAAAAATTTCCGAAAAGATTTTGGGGAGATGGTACATAAATCTAGAGATTTACCGACCCTATCTGAGATGACTCGAAAGAACAGTTGTTGCGGTAGTGGTAGCCCACACGGATGGGTGGATAACTCACGTTATTTCCGTAAATTATGTGTCGCCGTGGCACTATGATAGTGGAGTCTCGATCTAGTGATATATTCCGTCAATTAAGGGTGCTCGATAGCCGGAAATTTGTCGACCATGCCGGAAAATGGATTTAGATTGGATGGCTTTCCCAGCAGGATGTTGTACGAGTCGAGATATGGAATAAATGATCTTACTATCGTTATTGCCATAGGCTCGCGATTTATATTAATTAATTAATTTAAAAGTTAAAAATATGAATTCTATCGATTATACGAGTCTCGATAAAATAACGACACGCTGTCGACATTTTTGCAAAGATTATTAGAATTCTAATTTTTTAGTAAAACTCGATTATAAATTAAATAAAAAGCTTGTTTGTTGTTACTATAGCACCGCTTGTTTATTCTATGTTTACATATTTCTTAGCAAAATATTAGAAATTAAAATGTGTAGGAAGTTAATCGAGCAATATTCAAGCAGATAATTATGATAATTAAATTTTACATATATGCATACACGACACATATGCATGTAAAATACAATATATAGGTACATAATATATATTTTTATACTCTAAAACATATATTTTATGTAATATGAAGCTTTTATGATTCGATTAACAATCACACATTTGTTAATTGGGCGCAATATTTAAAACGAGTACATAAATATTGAGAGCAAGTAAATATCCATAATAATAAATATAAGCACTCATTATAAATATGTAGATTTGTTTGTTTTCATGTTGTGCATCATAATTCATTCGCGGTTTATTTTAAACGAGTTATAATCATATACATACATTAAATGATTAAAATAACTCTTTCTTTTCTGCTAGATAATTTTTAAATGCTTACTTAGACATATAAATGCACAAAATAAAATTGAAGAGATATTAGAATACTATGAAATGACTAGAATTCTAATAATTTTTGCAAAATTTTCTGATACAATAATTGTATTTGTTATAATTTGTTTGTTGATAATAATACGAAATTTTGTTTTATGAAATTATCATCTATTTTTTACGTGATTTTTCTTACGCTATAATTAAAATCGTAGGATAAAATTTAACTTTATTAATGCATCATTCACTCACCATATCCACTATCATTGTCCATCCTTTACCGTGTAGCTCTCCCTTTTTCCTCCGTATTTGTGGTGGCGGCATGCTCATCGAACCATATTTTCATTCCTGTCACAACATAAACCGATTCATTCAAGCACCCTTCCACTTCATCATCCGCATGAGAGTCGTTATAGTCAATTCGTACGACATAGATTACTATATAATGCGTATGATTTTACATGTACACGCCTATACAACTTTCAGCCAGAAAACACGTAATTACAACAACATACGGTACAGAGCGTTCGGTAATTCGAGATACACGACTATGCGTTTTTTTTGTTGCTCCAAGATACGTTTACAAAACATTTACAAAAAATAACATTGTTATGTCTATTAAGCTGGCACAGCTATTTAAGCACAATCGAATGAGACTCTTATTTATTTGATATTTAATTGCTTTAATATAACAATTTCCGATTTCGTTGCTAATAATTTATCCTGACCGATCGCGCCGCGCGCTCCCTTGATCTTCCCTAACAACAAAATCGTAAATTGTTATATTTGGGTAATACAATGATTGCAAATTATTCTTACACTAAACTGCATTACAGGTGCGCGCTTCGCGCGCGTTATTTAACACTTCTTACTATAATAACATTTTCTAAAAATATCCTAATGTAAATGCATCTTCAATAATCACAAAAAATTATCAATAAGAAATATTAACTTAAATTTCTTTCTCAAATATCATTAGATACTTTATATAAAATATTTAAAAATATAATACGATTGTACAATTTTCAAACGCAATAAATAACAATTTATTAGCGTTTAAGCAAAGTCATGAAAAAGTATGAGATGGAAATTGGGGTTCCCAATTTTATCTCTCTCGAAATACAGCTGTAACATCAATTCCCGCGCTCTCCGCGATCAGTCTTTCCAGATGGCGTCCCAAAAATGTAATTACTTTCGTATGCGTGGCTATAGGTGTAATCGATCGATTTGGATGAAAATTGAAACGACCTAGAAAAATTTTCCGAAAATACCTCGATACTGAGTCGCACGATTCCCCATTTCGCACAAATCGAGTTATGATAAAAATCACGTGTAAAAACTCTCCCGGAAAGAGATCGCTATTATTGTTCAATTTCAAATGAAATTGGGGACATTTAATCTTATTGTCGAAAATTACAGAATTTCAACGAAGTGTGTGCGGCAATTATCGAAATACGCAACTAGATGAAAGTATAGCTTACATTTCATGTGATCATTAGCAAATCTTCTAAAATATTGTTTCTTTATAATAATATTTCTTTTTATTGATCGTAGATCATGAGAGAGAAAGACAGAGAGAGAGAGAGAGAGTGAAATGTATTTATTTTTTACAAATTTAAATTTTATAAAAATAAAAATTTAATTTAAAATTTAAAAAATCAATGTTTTAATGTATAAATAATGACGTAATAATCTTTTCGTTTCTTCTGTTGTTTCATGAGCGACAGATATCTTTATATATACACATATACATATATATATATAATTAATTGTACATATTATAATTTATAAAACAACTAAATAATAAAAATTGTAAAATGTTCAGAATCTTGTCATATTTTATAAGCAGATTTATCAAAATATAAATATTAATATAAATAATATTTTAATACTATTATCTATATTCAAAAAATGAAAGAGAAATTATGCGTAATTATTATTAAATGTGATCAATCCGTATTATCATAAACAAATCTTATTATATTCGTAATTTAACAACATAGTATAATCTATTATAATAATTTTCATGTATAGCCTATTATAATAATTTTCTACATTCCTCGCAAGATTATACACGTTTAAAATTAAAATGAGAATGTTAGGTGAACCGTTTTGCAGAAACGTGTAACGAGTAGACGTAAAACATGTACACATTGCGTTCACACCATGACATAAACGGTCGCTAAACCGAGGTACGGACCCAAGTACAGGGTATATATGGACGTACAATAGTCGAAAGCATTTTCCGTATGTGAATAGATAGTGTGTGAGAGCATCCATGCACCACATATATACGTTTTTATCCATGTGACGGTGCATACGCGTACCATTTCTACTTGCTCGCATAAGTACGATTCGCTGTGCTGTGCCAGTGTCCTCTTTAACAGTTCTCTTTCTCCCTTCCTCTCTCTGTCTCTCTCCCCTCTTTCTTTTTTTCTTGCCTACTATAATGAACAACGTTGTAATTTCTACGTGCACCTGTTGTAATCTAGCACCGAGGATTTTCGCCACGCGACGCGATTCATTCGAGCACTTCGCGCGAGGGACGTCGCGGCCTTTATTAAGTTTTCGTCGTTGTAAATTCTTTCAATAAACGTCGGGCGTAGAAAGGCGCGAAAATCATAACGCTCGCTTTACGCGCGATGAGATCTCGCGTAGCGAGAACTATATATCGTGCGGTTGGATATATACCGCGCGTGCTCTGTGCCTTTTTTTTTACGTTCCCACGAACGCAACCGACTTCGCTTCGCATCATAATGCGTGTCGTAAAAGTTTTACAGTACCACCCGTCGCGATTTCCAAGAGGGAATTCTGCGAAGTTGCACGATTCGTACGAGCGTTTGCGGATTTTTACCAAAGCATCGGATCTCGTCTTCGGTAAGATCTCGCCTCAATCGACGGAAATTTGTTTGACACCGTAAAGGAAGTACGCTGTCGTCGGAGAAATTTTTGGCAGATAATACGACGCATCTCTCGACTCAAGATGCGTCGATACATAAAAGACAACTATAAAACTCGCAGTAGAAAATTACGTTTGTTTATTGTTTCTACGTTTCTTTTTTGTAAAGTACAACGGGAAACTTTTATCCCGCGGAACAGTCGCTATACGAAATAGCTAAAAGTTGCACGTCTAATCTTGACACGTCGAAACTTCCTCGCGGCGTTCGTCGCACTAACGAATCTCAAATTTTCATCACGTACCGAGGCGCGTTCATTTAAAGCGCGGTAAAGTTGGATCCGCGGTATCCGTACAATCCCACTGAATGTAGTCGCGCGACTCAGCCTGGTTAAATTATCATCCCCGCAAGGGGTAGAAGATACAAGCGTCATTGCCACAATCCAAACATTTCTGAAAGCTTCGCATTTGGAATATCTCCAGCTCGATCGGTTACTTGACGAAGCGGATAATGACGCAGGCGAGATGAGAGACAAAGAGGAAAATCAAATATTTGCGATCTGATGATGTGACTAAGAATAAACGCTGTTGAATAAGCTCTCCGCATTAATCGTCACATGTAATGTTATCCGAGGCATAATAGCCAGTCGAGAGAGAGAGAGAGAGAGAGAGAGAGAGAGAGAGAAAACGCGCGCAGAATTGTCCCGAAAAGTTCCGTACGCAGGCCGGCCCCCCTTTGCCGGAGTTTCATTGGTATTTCGCTGCATCAGAGGGTTCATACCCAGTGTGTTCGCAGGCCGTATTTTCGCCATCCCTCTCGCACTCCCTGCCACCTCGTGTCCCTTTTTCCCTCTCTCATTTCCCGGTTGGCTGCTACTGTCGGGTTTCCAGCCCTTCTCTCATTAAATCATTTGTTCTCCGACGCGGACGCCGCGCCGCCGCTGCCGCGCCGCGCTCGCCATTCCCGTTGGCGGTGCAGCGCAAAATATCCGGCCGAATATTTCGAGAATAAACGTCGACTCGTCTTTTCTTCTTGCGCGAGCTCACGCCCACGTCAAATTCATATCAAGGCGGTGTAAGCATAATTCATTATGATTTTCGCGCCATGCATCGTCCGATTTATTCCCGTGGAATATTTCTAGATGAATAATGTATGCGTATTCACCCGCGCAAATCTACAATACGTCGTATTTGAAGGGAAAGTTTTCTATATCCTGTTAACATCGTTACGCTGTTTGCAGGAATCAGGCTTCGCGATATTTTAAACTTCGTTCTTCTGTTATTTGCTATTGTACAATTTAAACGTTTTATTATATAATTCAACTATCCGAAAATACAAAAATTTCAAAGAAAGAAATTAACGAATAGAAAAGAATTGAAGTAAAGACAAATAGATGCAAATTACCTCATCATTTATATATTTGTTGTCGAATCCGTCACCATGACAATTAGGTACGTTAAACATTTATATCATAAGCATAATATTTAAAAATTAATTAAAATTGTATATTATTTATCGCACATGTATAATTATTTACGTATAATTCAAAGTTAATTCCTGTGCAAACTGATGATAGAACACAACTATTCATAGTATAACCAAAATAATTATTTTATATTCGCAAATACCACGAAATGCTAATTACACATGCTAGTGAAAACACCACGTTATAATTAAATACCGGGTAATTGCGTGTAATACACGGGTGCAATTTACTTATTTTCGCATGCTGAATTTTTTTCACGAAGCCACGACTCTCGTTGGTGACGGTGAGCAACCTCAATCGACGATGCTGGTACGCATCGTCCGTTCGGATTATGATGACCCATCTACCACGGTCAGCTCGTTCAGTTTCGATTTATGGGTAACCGATAACCGGATTCCCCTGCTGCCCTTCCTCGTGCAATTCTTTCGGCCACCATGTCAGTCCTCCGCCGTGTGTGCTTTTTACGAGGCTGTACGATAACATCGTGGAGCTACGTCAACAAATTTCTCTCGAGCATTGTTCTCCTCGCCGGGAAAGTTAGCCAGCTACGAACTAATCTTACGACGCTCTCGATATTTCTTTTTTTATTTTTTTTTTACGAAAGTGGATCGCTTCGCATTATATAATTAATTCGTTTAGTTTTCTTGCAATAAAAAAGAATATCACGTAAAAGACATTATTAATTGAACTAAACCTAATTACAATGTATTTCCGTTTTAGCTTTAAGCAACAATAATAATTTGTTAGTAAGATACAATTGAATAAATCAAAGTTAAGCTTGGATTTTAACATTTAATAAAAATACCATCTTTCGAAAAAAAACTTTTGAAAAAGAACGAAAGAAAGGAAAAGAGAAACAGATTTTTAACTAATCCATTATTAATGTTTCACGGAATAAAAGATGAGATATTTAAATAGATGAATTATCTCCCTATGGTTTTATCAAAAATCAATGTATCAAGCAA